ATGAAAAATCGTGACGTCATAACATAAATTTATGACGCAAGCGTAGGGGCATGTATACTTACCATATTTGAATCCGTAAATAAAAACAAACGATATTTTTAGTAAATTCATTTATATTTACATTTTTATTAAATATTCTTTGTAGAAACATATACTTATACATTTAAAAATATATTAAATATTATTTTAAATAAATATTAATTTTCTTAAAAACTAAACCGACTTATTTGCTCTCTGTATTGCAATCCTTGTAGAATTTTATGATTGAGGAAACAGGATGAATCCCAAAGGTATAATTTTAGTTATGGGCGGGGGCCTGCCATATTTTCAACTTAGTTGTAGATCGATAAGTTTCGATTGTCATCATACGGAAATCCGAGCATATACAATACCCAATAATCTGGAATGAAAAATAAATTAAAAATATATATATTTTTTTTTTATAAAAAATGTTTTAATTTTAAAAAACATTTAAATAATATTGGCTGAACAAATTTTAAACTGTGGCGGAATAGCTACAGTTCGGCATTTATTTGTCGACATTTGAGTGGGTTGATTTTTTTTATTTTTCTACTTTATGCAAATTCTAAAAATATCAAGGAAATTCGTTCTTGAACGACACGACAAGAACTTTTAATTTTGAAATGAGGGTCACAGATGGAATCTGGAATAGATGTAGTAAATGGTTTTTATTTGGAAATTCAAACTATAAGTATCCGCAGAGGACAAAAATGTACTAAATTTGGTACAATTTCGTAGAATGTGAATGGATTGATCTAAAAACATGAAATTTGAAATACGAATTAAGGCTAAGAAATATGGTCGATATAAGGAGGTGGTTTTGGAAGTGTGTACTCATGTATACGAAAAGTACTAAATTTTGTACAATTTGAATTTTGGGAAACGGATGAATCTGGAATCCTAAAATTTAAAATTAACATTATTGTTCTAGAAATTTGTATTTATGTGTACGAAATATACTAAATGGTATTATATCTGGTACAATTTGGATTTTGGGTGAACTGATAGAGTTGTAATCTTTAAAATTGAAGTTTAGATCACAGCTGGAGCTAGGATCATTGTTGGGTTGTACGATTGGGATATGGAGGAAGTTTTGGAAATTTTTAATAAATGCTACCGCCGATAGATTGAGCTAAGTAGAACGTTTGGGAAATGGGCACTAAACTTGGTACAATTATAATTTTGAAATCCTGAAATCGGAATAGGTAGATTAGAAAAATCGTAATTATGTGTACTAAATTTGGTACAATTTGAATTTTGGGTGAAACGATAGGGGTGTTGGGGTGTAGGATTGCGATGTGCAAAAAGTTTCGAAATTTGTACTATTGTGTACTAAATAGTACCAAACGGGGATTTGGGTGAACCGATAGAGAAGGAATATTTAAATTTGAAGTTAGGCTCACAGTTGGGGTGTAGGATTGGGCAATGTAGGAGGTTTTGAAAATGAAAATACCACTGTGTTCTAAATGATACTAAAATTAATTCAATTATATTTTAGTGAAGCGATCGGGCTAGAATCCTGAAATTGGGAAATATGATATATATTATATATTAATGTGTACTAAATGGTACTAAATCATGAATTAGTTTTGGAAATAAATACTACAAGAATACGAGAGGTAATAAATGGTAAAAAAATAAGTATAGATCTAGATTTGCGTTGCGATCAGAATTGGTGTGTAGTGTTGAGATATGGAGGTAGTTTTGGAAATACGCATTATAAGGTAATAAAGAAACTAAATGGTACTAAAAGTTTAATTATGGCCAATATTGGTATTTACGTTGATTAGCTCTTCTAAAATATGTAGTTCTCTGTGAAAACAAAATAAAATATTTAGAAATGTTTAAATAATTCCCACATCCGCTAACGAATTTATTTCATTGTATGTCTGTTTTTATGAATTATATGTAATATCATGATATATCCATGTATTAGGGATAAACATGTTGGTAACATCTTGACCAAATTGGTAACATATTGGTAACATCTTGACCAAATAATTTGTTATTCATAAGCAGGCCAATAAATGTATGAGTAACTTCTAATATTTGTATGTATATTTCCAAATATTAAATAAATGCTTTGTACATCGTCATGTGGTATAACAATTCATTGCAAATGTTTAGTTGCTAATTTATACAGTCCGAGCAATACAACTATATTCATTCATACTTATGTTCAGTGATGGTGGTGGTGTGTTAAATGAATATTAAATAAGACATTACCAGATGATAAATGTAAATCAGATAAATTGATTATTTAGCATTTGCATAAATGACCCAAAGAAAAACAATTTTGGTAGAAAATCATAAATAATATTTTTCAAATAAAATTAACATTTTTTGAGGGGAAAATAAAATGAAAAAAAATATGAATATAATTAGTAAAATTTTTAAGGGAAAATTAAAAAAAAACTGTTTTATTTTTCAATACAATATAGATACAGTGCATTACTCTCCTCGATAATATCTTAATGGAGTGGGGGTGGAATGAGTACTGCACGGAGGATGTTTGTTTTATTCCTTGGCACCGGAAATTAATGAACCAAAAAACCGTAAAATCAATTTTCGAAAATGGCAGCAGACGACAATGTCAAAAATGTGTGTATGCCTGTCATACATGAAATACTCCAGAAAAAATGGAAACAAACGAACGAAATGAACAACATTAACACAACGTTAAGTAGGTAGACACACTCGGCGAATGATAATCAAGGCAGCAACGACAACACCAATACCACCACCACTATAATCAATGATGAGATGATGTTGTATTTTAAAGTTGGCTTTTTGCTGCTGCCGCTGTTGATGTAACAACACTCTTTCGGTGCTACCTCAATTTTTGGGTGGGAGTTCCACTATGTGTTTTTGTCTGTTCAACAAGGATTGTTTCCTCGTATCAACCAGCCAGCCAAATGTTGTTCGCTCTGCTACAGGCAAATGTCATGTTCAATTGCTTACAACATTAACTTTTCGTTCAGCAACATATTACAAAGTGTGTCCCCAAACTGTCTGTCTTGTTGCCGCCGTTTATTCGTTCGTTCGTTTGTTCATTCATTCTGTCTATCAGATTGACGAACGGTGTTGCCTTGTGATATCGTCTGCTACTGCTGATGATGTTATTTTCCATTTGTCGCCAAAAAATTAACAACAATTTTGTTTCGGGCTGTTGTTATTTTGTTTGGCCTTAATATGCCTTATTTGAGATATGGTATGGAAACCCCTAGTCACTTGTAGAAACGCAATATGATTACTTACATATTCGTCGAACTTGAGGGGTTCTCAAAAATAATACTAATAACGCGGCTAAAGACTTGGAGTTTTTTCCGAAGGACCAAATAGGACGATAACCGTGGATTTTCTTAAAAGGAGCACATATGACTATAGGCACTTTGGTCCTTATTTTTTTTTAAATCCACCCTAATATTCACGTTGGTCCTGCGTTAAAATTATTTTAAAGTTTACACAAATATCCATTGATCCTAAAAAATCTTTGAAAAATCCACCAAAAACTCCACGTTGGTGATTCAAAAAAAATCTTAAAAAATCGAAGCCTCCATTTCGGTTGGTCCTTCAGAAAAAATGTTTTAACATATTCAGAAGTCTTGCTCTAAAGATTAGAAAATTCTTAAATATCCTCATCTGCATCCCTGCTGTTCTAAAAACATTTACGTCTGCGGGTTTTACAAGGCAATTTTTCTGAAGGTCCTATAATATATTTTTTTAATAATTTTTCTGAAGGATCGAAATACCAAAGGCGTGGATTTTTAAATATTTTTTCTGAAGGATCGAAAATGGCAAAGGCGTGGACTTTTAAATATTTTTTCTGAGGGATCGAAAATGGCAAAGGCGTGGATTTTTAAAATATTTTTCTGAAAGATCGAAAATGCCAAAGGCGAGGAATTTTAAAAAATGTTCAGAAGGATCGAAAATGCCAAATGCGCGAATTTTAAAAAAATTTTCTGCGTGGATTTTTAAATAATTTTTCTGAAGGATCAAAAATGCCAAAGGCGTGGATTTTTAAATAATTTTTCTGAAGGATCAAAAATGCCAAAGGCGTGAATTTTTAAATAATTTTTCTGAAGGATCAAAAATGCCAAAGGCGTGGATTTTTAAATAATTTTTCTGAAGGATCAAAAATGCCAAAGACGTGGATTTTTAAAAAATTTTTCTGAAGGATCGAAAATGTCAAAGGCGTGGATTTTTGAAAAATTTTTCTCAAGGACCTAAAAGACAAGAGATGATTTTTAAATACTTTTTCTTAAGGACCTACAAGACAAGATGAGAGGATTTTAAATAATTTTTCTTTATGAGATGATTTTTAAAGAAAGGTTTTTTCTGAAGGATCTGCAAGACAAGAGGCGTGAATTTTTCTAAAGGACCTACAAGGCAAAAGGCGTGGATTTTAAATAAATTTTCTCAAGGACTAACATGGCAAGATGCGTGGATTTTTAAAGAATTTTTCCCAATGTGAATTTTTACAGAACGTTTCTCGTGGACTTTCAAGACAAGAGGCGTGGCTCTGTAAAAAATTTTTCTCAAGGACCTATAAGACAAAAGGCGTGAATGTGTAAAGAAAATTTATTGAGGACTTTCAAGACAAAAGGTGTGAATGTGTAAAGAAAATTTATTGAGGACTTTCAAGACAGAGGCGTGGGTTTTTGAGGATTTTTTCGAATGAACCAACAAGTCAGAGGCTTGGGTTTTTAAATAATTTTTCGAATGAACCAACAAGGCAAAAAATACCAGCAAAATAAGTGGGTGGCATTTTCAAAGGACTCTTCTAAAGCGCCAACACATTACAATATATCTACGTACAACCAAAAACCATCCTGACACGTGATGAAAAATTAACATTCCAATTCCAATTCCATATCTAACTCCATAAACTCAATACATACATACCCATATATGAGTATCATTCTCCTACATAATAAAGATGTCATAATTATTTTCCATCTCTCGCTCTTTGTTTCCAGGTGTATTATTTATATCTTTACATTGGTAGTATGATATTCCTACTCTTTATGTACGCAACACTGCTATGGGGAAGACCAAAAATTCCAACCAATATAGGTAAAAACACATACCTACAAAAATATAAGTCCTGTTTAAAATTAATATTTCCCCTCCTTAAATTCCAGCTTCACCCACAAAACTCTCAGCCAAGACTCGGTCAACAAGTGCATCAGAAACTATGGATGAATCAGATACGGATAGCACCTCAACAGATCGTAATAAACGTATGCCACCGGCTATATCATCGGCGAGACGACCTTCTATATTATCGCCATTGGGGCGACAACATCATTACGGTAGCTTCTATTTGCGTATGGGTGCCGTAGGTAAGTGAAGTAAATGTTCAGCGAGTGTGTTTTTTTGTTTTTGTATTTTTTTCCTTTCTGCAACTATTGTTCGGGAGTTGACAAAAGATTTATGAATGCTGTAGTAATAAATTTTATGGTAAAACACAAAGTTTTCAATTGTTTTGTGGTGTGGGATGCGGGATGCTTTTAAATGGCATAGAAAAATAGTTTTGTAATGGATATGTTTTTTTTCTTGTAATGTGGGTTTTAATGGGTTTCACATACATACAAATATTATTTGTATATTCGAACAAAAAGGAATGATATATTAAATGAGAGTGAGTTATATTTCCTTGTATAAAGTTGGGTCATAAGGAAGAATTTATAGAGGTCCGTCATAGCTATAGGAAGGGAGTTTAGGGCTATTTATTCGAGGGAAATCGAGACGAAGAAAATCGAGAAAGATCAAGGATTATTGAGCACTAATTTTTCAATTTTTTTTAATTTTTCAAGGGAAATCAAGGCTGTAGGTGTGGAATCTTAGGACTAATTTTTCAAAGGAAATCAAGGCTATAGGCGTGGATTATTAAGGACTAATATTTTCAAGGGAAATCAAGGCTATAGGCGTGGATTATTAAGGACTAATATTTTCAAGGGAAATCAAGGCTATACGCGTGGATTATTAAGGACTAATATTTTCAAGGGATATCAAGGCTATAGGCGTGGATTATTAAGGACTAATTTTTCAAGGGAAATCAAGGCTATAGGCGTGGTATTAAGGACTAATTTTTCAAGGGAAATCAAGGCTATAGGCGTGGTTTATTAAGGACTTATTTTTCAAAGTAAATCAAGGCTATAGGTGTGGATTATTAAGAACTATTTTTTCAAGGGAAGTTAAGGCTATAGGCGTGGGTTATTAAGGACTAATTTTTCAAGGACAATCTATGCTATTGGCGTGGATTGTTAATGACTAATTTTTCAAGGACAATCTATGCTATTGGCGTGGATTGTTAATGACTAACTTTTCAAGGGAAATCAAGGCTGTAGGCGTGGATTATTAAGGACTAATTTTTCAAGGGAAATCAAGGCTATAGGCATGGATTATTTAGGACTAGTTTTTCAAGGGAAATCAAAGCTATTGGCGTGGATTATTAAGGACTAAGTTTTCAAGGGAAATCAAGGCTATAGGGGTGGTTTATTAAGGACTAATTTTTCAAGGGAAATCATGGCTATAGGTGTGGATTATTAAGGACTAATTTTTCAAGGGAAATCAAGGCTATAGGTGTGGATTATTAAGGACTAATTTTTCAAGGGAAATCAAAGCTATAGGCGTGGGTTATTAAGGACTAATTTTTCAAGGGAAATCAAGGCTATAGGCGTGGATCATTGAGAACTAATTTTACAAGGGAAATCAAGGCTATAGGCGTGAATTATTAAGGACTAATTTTTCAAGGGAAATCAAGGCTATAGGCGTGAATTATTAAGGACTAATTTTTCAAGGGAAATCAAGGCTGTAGGCGTGGATTATTAAGAATTAAATTTTTCAAGGGAAATCAAGGCTGTAGGCGTGGATTATTAAAAATTAAATTTTTCAAGGGAAATCAAGGCTGTAGGCGTGGATTATTAAAAATTAAATTTTTCAAGGGAAATCAAGGCTGTAGGCGTGGATTATTAAAAATTAAATTTTTCAAGGGAAATCAAGGCTGTAGGCGTGGATTATTAAAAATTAAATTTTTCAAGGGAAATCAAGGCTGTAGGCGTGGATTATTAAAAATTAAAATTTTCAAGGGAAATCAAGGCTGTAGGCGTGGATTATTAATAGGTCTGGATTATTAGAAACTAAATTTTCAAGGGAAATCAAAGCAATAGGCGTGGATTATTAAGAAATAGTTTTTCAAGGGATATCAGGGCTATAGGGGTGGTTTATTAAGGACTAATTTTTCAAGGGAAATCATGGCTATAGGTGTGGATTATTAAGGACTAATTTTTCAAGGAAATCAGAGCTATAGGTGTGGATTATTAAGGACTAATTTTTCAAGGGAAATCAAAGCTATAGGCGTGGGTTATTAAGGACTCATTTTTCAAGGGAAATCAAGGATACAGGCGTGGATCATTGAGAACTAATTTTTCAAGGGAAATCAAGGCTATAGGCGTGAATTATTAAGGACTCATTTTTCAAGGGAAATCAAGGCTATATGCGTGGATTATTAAGGACTAATTTTTCAAGGGAAATCATGGCTAGAGGTGTCGATTATTAAGGACTAATTTTTCAAGGGAAATCAAGGCTATAGGCGTGGATTATTAAGGACTAAGTTTTCAAGGGAAATCAAGGCTATAGGCGTGGATTATTAAGGACTAATTTTTCAAGGGAAATCAAGGCTATAGGCATGGATTATTTAGGACTAGTTTTTCAAGGGAAATCAAAGCTATTGGCGTGGATTATTAAGGACTAAGTTTTCAAGGGAAATCAAGGCTATAGGGGTGGTTTATTAAGGACTAATTTTTCAAGGGAAATCATGGCTATAGGTGTGGATTATTAAGGACTAATTTTTCAAGGGAAATCAAGGCTATAGGTGTGGATTATTAAGGACTAATTTTTCAAGGGAAATCAAAGCTATAGGCGTGGGTTATTAAGGACTAATTTTTCAAGGGAAATCAAGGCTATAGGCGTGGATCATTGAGAACTAATTTTACAAGGGAAATCAAGGCTATAGGCGTGAATTATTAAGGACTAATTTTTCAAGGGAAATCAAGGCTATAGGCGTGAATTATTAAGGACTAATTTTTCAAGGGAAATCAAGGCTATAGGCGTGGATTATTAAATACTAATTTTTCAAGGGAAATCAAGGCTATAGGCGTGGATCATTGAGGACTAATGTTTCAAGGGAAATCAAGGCTATAGGCGTGGATCATTGAGGACTAATGTTTCAAGGGAAATCAAGGCGCGAATTATTAAGGATTAATTGTTAATGAAAAGAGAAAATCGAAGATATTGGCATGGACTGTTAAGGACTAAGTTTTAAAGCAATATAAAATAAGAATCAAGGATATTGTCATAGATTATTAAGGACTAATTATTGAAGGCCTATGAAAGCTCTAAATACAACTAATTTCATTTGCAAATAACATAATATATGTGTAGACATTTCGTCTCTTAAATAACAGCACATTTTCCTTGTCACTGTTGGCTAAGAAAATAATTTATTTTTATGTACAGCACTTAAATTCTCCCACCACCCCAGATTTGTTCTCCATTCCTACAGGATTACACTTCGACTTGTACAATTTACACATTTAATTTATGCTACATGTAATGGTTATACTTTAGGGCCTAATGGTTTTATATTGTTGGGTAGCTTTTTTATGCTGTTGTTGTTGAAACCCCCAGATTGCAAAAACAAAACAAAGCAAAAAAAAAGAAGAAAACACGCTTAAGTGAAGACACAAAGAAAATCCTTTGGTAAACCTTCATAATTCAATTGTGTATGTGTGTGTGCGAATTATCTTTAAGTTTTTCTTAAAGTCTGCTTATTTACAACGCCGAACAGCGGCAGCAGCAGGAAATACAACTGACTGTCAGACAACAATCGGGAATTAAATTTGTTGTCGCTTTTATATCCGTCGCCGCTTTATGTTCTTTGTCGTTATGTTGGTTGCTTTGTTTTTGTTTTTGCAGGAAATTAAGGGACTTTTGGTTGTAGTTTGGGGTATGAGGTTGCGGATTGTTGTTGTCGTTTATTTATCGTGTTTGCTTTTAATGACTTTAATGTTAGTTGTTGTTTCTTATTTTTTAAAGAAAATATTTACTCATCCATTTTTATTTGTTTATGTTGTGTGTTTTTTGCTTTCTCTTTACAGCCTTTGGTATTGGTAGCATGATATATTCTGGTCTAGAATTTGGTCAATATTTTGAATTAAATCCGGACACGAAGTGTCACAATGTTTTGTTGGCTTTGACACCAGCTACAAGGATGGCATTCATTTTTATTCAAATGTATTTTATATTTTTGAATAATGAGGTAAGTATTGGTATACAAATATTTCAGTTGTTTGCAGGGTGTCTATAGAAAACAAAGTTGTAATTTTTGAAGGCCTAATTTTGGAATTTTTTAAGGAATATCAAGACTATAAGTGTTGATTTTAAAGGGCTATTTTTCAAGGATAATCAAAGTTATAGCCGTAGATTTGCAAGGACTAGTTTTCAAGGACAACCTAAGCCATAGACATAGAAATGATAATTTTCAAGGGCAATCAAAGCCCTAGACGTAGTTTTGATTACTATTTTATAAAAGACTATCATCAAATATAGGCGTGGTTTCTTATGGACTAATTTGTGAAGGACTATCATCGTATATATGTGCGGTTTCTTAGGGAATAATTTGTGAAGGACTATCATCAAATATACGCGCAGTTTCTTAAGGACTAATATGGAAGGACTAGGTGTGGTTTCTTAAGGACAAATATTTAAAGGACTATAATCAAATATAGGCCAGATTTCTAAAGGGCATATTTTTCGAAGGACTATCATCAACTATAAGCGTGATATCTTAAGCACTATTTTTTGAAGGACTATCATCATAAATAGGCATGGTTTGTTAAGGACAATGTATTGCGCGGATTGTTAAGGACTAATTATATTCGCGTGGTTTTGAGGACTAATTATAATTAATTCACTATTGAAGGACTATAGAGGATTTTTAAGGACTAATTATTGAAGAACTCTGAAGTCATAGGCGTAGACTTTTAAAGACTAATTACTGAAGGACTATCAGGTCAATGGGGTGGATTTTTGAAAGACTTTCAGAGCTATAGGCATGGATTTTTAAGGGCAAAACTTTGTATGATTATCAAGTCATAGACGTAGACTGTTAAAGACCAATTACTAAAGGACCAGAACATAGGCGTGTATTTTTTGGACTACACTTTGCAGGACTCTTAGAGCCATAGGTTTGAATGTTTAATGACTACACTTTGATTAACTTTCAGAGCCATAGTCGTGGATTTTTATGAAATATACTTTAAAATACTCTCAGAGCCAAAGACATGGATTTTTCGAATTACATTTTGAAGGACTCTTAGAGCTACAGGCGTGGATTTTAAAGAACTATACTTTGAAGGACTCTCAGAACTACATGAGCGGATTTTAAAGAGCTATCTTTGAGGGACTTTTAGAATTATATGCTACACTTATATGCTACACTTTGAAGGACTCTCAGAGCAATAGGAGTGGATTTTTGAAGGATTCTCAGAGCAATATGCGTGGAATTTTTAGGGCAACATTTTGAAGGACTCTCAGAAGCCTCACTATAGCCGTGGATTTTTGAGGACTACACTTTGAAGGATTCTTAGGGCTATAGACCTGGATTTTTAAGAATTACATTTTTAAGGACTCTCAGAGTTATAGACTTGGAATTTTAAGGACTACACTTTGAAGGACTCTCAGAGCAATAGGCGTGGATTTTTAAGGACTACACTTTGAAGGTCTGTCAGAGCTACGGGCGTGGAATTTTATTTTAAAAAACTCTCAGAGCTATATGCGTGGATTTTTAAGGACTACACTTAGAAGGACTGGATTTGGATTTGAAGGCACTTTTTATTGACGTGAATTTTGAAGGACTTCTTATTGAAGGACTCTTAGAGCTAAAGACGTGCATTTTGAAGGACTCTCAGAGACGTGAAAATTGAAGTACTAATTATATAAGGGAGTTTCAGAGCTAGGACTAGAAGAACTTTTAATGACGTTGATAACAATACCTTCTTACGATAGAAGACCTTATATGGGTTATCCTTAGGTAGAAGACATTTTTTAGTCAAAATACTTCTATACGCCAAATACCATTGGAATAACTTTTGTAGACGGAAAGGCCGTATAACTTTTTAAAGAATGTCTATAGGCAGGAGGAACTAAAATAAAATCTTCGGTAACATCTTACAAGGGTCGTATATCGACAGAAAATCTTCTACATGACTTCTATAACCTGAAGACATTCAACATGTATTCCATAGCCAAAAACCTTATCATATGGATAAAATATCTTCTACAGGCCTTTTAGATGTTTTGGATCTTTTAAAAGCCTTCCAGACATAATAAATTTCTATACCACAAATCTCCTGAAGCCATAAATTATCCTACAAATCGCCTGATAAATTAGGTGTCCCCCCAGATATTCTATAAACCGAAAATTAAGGAGATCTTTTATAGCCCTTTTATAAACAGAAGATTTTCAACATGTGTTCTGTAGACAGGAGGGTTTCAACAGGTCTTCTAGAGGCAGTAGTTTTAAAAGGTTTCTCTAGAAGGAAGGCATTCTACTGATATCGCACATCTTATAGGTCTTTTAACGGAGGTCTTTTACATCACTTCTATAGACAAAAAATCGTCTAGAAGGTCTTCTGAGGATAAAAGACCTCCCTGGGGTCTACTCAGAAGAGAATATATGAAGAAAAGAAAAATAGATAGAAGGACTTATATAGGTCTTATATAGATTGCTGTCCCAATATGAATACCCTGTTTTGATAATTTTTTTACTGTTCCAAAAATGTATTCTAATTTTTATTTTCTCTTACATTTTTACAGCAAATCAAAGTGTATCGTTACAAAATCATAGCCCGCTTCGGACTAATGCATATGATTGGCACCAATTTGGCCGTGTGGTTGAATGTCCTGATACAGGAGACAAAACATGAAATTTTAACATTTTATAATCCCGAAAATCGAACATTACGTATATCACATCGAATACCGGGCCATTCAAGGGCACATTCCGTTTTGGCACCATCAGATCCTAATGTTTTGCTAAGAGTTCCACGTGGCTTGAAAGGACCCTATCAAATATTTGAATGTCGTCGTACAAATATATTGGGAACATTAGTGCAAGATGCCTCACCATTCCTGTTCCCCTGTACCATTGAATATTCGTTGATATGTGCCGCTATCCTATATGTTATGTGGAAGAGTATTTCGAGACCGCAAATACCAAAACCACAACGTCCCGATATGATAAGTTCACCAATAAAGCGATCGCCTCACCATTATTCAGTGGATTGTGCCAGGGCACATAAAGGCCTGTTTGTGGGAATTTTGATATTGGTATTGACCATTATATCGTTGATCCTATTTTTCGTATTGATCTCACGACCGGATTTTGTCGCCTTGGCTGTTATGGAAGTGACAATTTGTGAGTTGTTTATTTATGGTACAGCGACAATAGCCACCCTGGTGGGAATGATTCAAATAAGGCATTTGCAGTATGATGCCTATCGTAGCTTCTCTTTGGATGATATTTTGTTGGTTGGCGCGCAGACGGGATCATTTTTATATAACATTTTCACAGTGATTGCAGGACACTTTTCGCTACGCAGTGATGATTGGTTGGTGCCACTCAACGCCTTGGCCTCCATTGTTCAGACCGCCTGCCAAACGATGTTCATCTTGGATGCTAGTCGACGACAGGCTGTCACACCGGAACACATTCGCAAAAAACCCGGAAGGGAAATTGTTACCTTTATGTTGGTTGTTAATTTGGCCATGTGGGCCATATCCACGCTGGAAAAGTCACGAGCCGAATCACATCCTATACAGCTGAATTTCTATGGTCTATGGGCATGGACCATTATTACGCATGTCTCCATGCCGCTGGCGATATTCTATCGTTTCCATTCCACCGTGTGTTTGTGTGAAATCTGGAAGCGGGCATATAAACTAAAACCGACGTATATGTGAGAATTAGCCCGTGAGCGCATTGCTAGCATTGCGCAACAACAACAATTTTGTGAAGAACTTAAGACCAACTTATCGTATTGCTATTGTTCGACAACGATCGTAGAGACCATTGAAGAGGCGGACAGTAATGGTGGTAGTGGCGGCAGTGGTAGCGGTGGTGCTAATGGTACCACCACCAATGGCCATGCTGTGGGTAATTGTGAACCATCAGCACCTCCGGCAGAGAAATGTGGTAATGGTTCGGAAACAACAACTGTGGTGCTGGAAGGTCTGGGTACTGGTACTGAGGCCACCGAGGAAGAGGATCTGGAGACCACCGATAACGAAACTGTGGTAGAAACCAAACAACAGCAGCAATCATCGAGAAAATCAAGTGCCGGTGGTGGAGGCGGTGGTAATGGTCGTGCATTTTGTCCAGTTTATATAATCAATGGTCAATGAGTTTATATGCAACTGGAGTACATTGATGCCAATTCCCAAAAGGAACTCAGTTTTGTTTAAGCTCGAAACAAAAGACAAAGGCAGAAAAGCAGAAACAAACCACACAACAACAAAACGAAAACGAACAAGGCAACAACACCGATGTTATGACTTCGAAGGTGGATTCTTTTGATCTTCTTTGTAGGCATAAGGAATAATCGAAAAAAAGGAAATATAAAACAAATATATATCTATCTACAAACAAATATACACACAACAAACACAAAAAAACTATGAGAAAGGAAACAAAAAAATAAATACTGACCAATTTTGTTGCTCTCTTTTTTGTAAGAAATCAAATCAAGTCAAAATCATCACCAGCTCCTTCTTCATGAAACTCATCTTGTTTAGGCAATAATTATTTTAAAAAAACTGAAAAGATAAAATTAAAAAAACCAAATTAATTGATATTATTGTATATATTATTAATATTAAAATAAAACTAAATATATATGTTTGTAAATTTTATTTAATTATTTATAACTATTAATGTGAACAAAGCAATCAAAAATTTTTGTAAGAAAAAATTGAGATAATTGTTTTTCTATTTATTGAAGACATTGCAAAGATTTATTTAAATGGTATTCTAATGTAATTTATTAATTTTAAATTGACTTTTAAATAAAACAAAAGACATTATTTAATTTGAAATTTTTATTTAGTTTCATTTAACTATTTTTGCATATTCGAGTTATTTTTTAGAAACTATTGGTATGTATTTTTTATTTATTTTTCAATACTTGACACATGGAGTTAAGTTGAATGTTTTTAGACATTTTGTCTAAACTTCTCAAACTTGTTATTTTATTCTACTATATTCATTTTTTAAACGTATATGTAATGTGAATTAATGTCCTGCTATTGGAAAAAAACATGAAATTTTAACATTATTTAATTTTGAAAATCGAACATTACGTATATTACATCGAATACCGGATCATTCACGGGCCCATTCCGTTTTGGCACCATTAGATCTCAATGTTCTGTTGAGAGTTCTGGCCGCTTGAAAGGTCCCTATCAATTATTTTAATGTTGTCGTACACATATTTTGGGAACATTGGACATGCACCGTTTTGTTGTATGATTTGTTGCCATTTTAAAGGTAACTTCATAATGCCTCTCTTATAGAAGAGGCATTATGAAGTTAGTTTTCACAATACCAATTTTTTTTTTTGTTAAAGAAAATTCGCAATGCAATAAAAAAATTAAAATCGTTTGGTGCCAAGTCCGGACTGTATGGCGTAAATGCACCAGCCAAACATCCCAACCAAGCTCTCGATGTTTCTGGCGAATCACTGTAGATGTGTGTGGCCTAGCTTTGCCATGGCGGAAAGTTCTGGTGTCGAAAGTCTTTAACTACAATTCAATGTGCGGGAATAAAAAATAAGTTATTGGGTCTTATGTCAGGGCAGTACGACAGATGACCCATCAATTCTACCTTGGTCGTATTGTCATGTTGCACAATGATTCGTCTTCTCTTGTTAATTTATTGAATTTCTCTGAATACTTCAAATATACAAATTATTCATCTGTATTGCCGTAGAAACAGGCTACCATTTAATTCGAAATAATTTTCCCACGAAAAAGTTGCGTTGGATGCGGGTTGTCTTCGAAGAACTTCTCTTTTTGAGTCTGTTTAACGATTGTCAACTTGAACGGAATATGACGACATCAATGTATTGCGGTACAATGGTTCCTTTTGGTATTTACCTTTTGGGAGAACATCAGATGATCGAATTCACTGAACCAGTTGTCCACAGTGCAATAGGACGGTGTTTAATCGTCATATAAAGATGTGTGTTCTTCGATGCTCTCTTGTCGTGACAATTTTCCCTAGGCCCTCGTATGATACTTACTTGGCTGGCTTGTGACAGAACATTTATTCCATAAGCCGAGCTTAAAACAGACAACATGACCTAGCCACCGTAGTCGAAGCAGCTCGATATGTCGGACTATGTCCGAGAATAGATGGTACAACTCATGGTTCTTTCGACGCCGATATTCACCGCCGACACAGATCGGGCCGTAGATCTTTCAGAGAATTTTTCTCTCAAACACTCCAAGAACTGCATAATCTGCCAAGTTTTATATCCATATAACACATCCATATATAAGTAGTGTAGAGTGTGAGTTTGATCAGGCCATGTTTTTGAATTGCTTACTCAGACATCTGTTATTTATGGCGGTATCAAGATATATAAAATCTTTGACTACCTCGAAGCTGTAATTTTGAAGTTCCACAGTTTGTCAGAGTCTATTGGACATCTTGCACGTTGATACAATCAGCTTGGTCTTCTAGCCGTTTACTGCCAGACCCACTTTGGCAGACTCCTTCTCAATTCGTTCAAAGGTGGCTGTTACCGCTCGCAATATTCGACCCATTATATCAATGTCGTCGGCGAGTAACATATCCTGTTTGGTGTACAGAGTGCCATCTCTGTTCACCTTTGCCTTTTCCTTTTCCAGCAGGATTTTAAAAATGTCGCACGTCAAACTGTCACCTTTCCTGAATCCTTGATTTGCATTGAAGGGAACCGAGAGGTCTTTTCCGACTTTAAATGCTGACCTTGTGCCAAGTAAAGTTATCCTGCATATTCATATTAATTTTGCATGAACTTTAAACACCTCTGAGCGAATTGGGTTGTCGAATGTGGCTTTTGTATTTTTCGAGGGTCTTTTCCAGGATTTGGCGCTGAGTGAAAATCTGGTCAATGGTGTATTTGCCAGGCATGAAGCCGCATTAGTATGGCGCAAGAATATCATTGACAACTGGCTTCGTTCACACAGCATGCTTGATAACACTGTATATGCGATGAGAAGGAGACTAATTCCTCTATAGTTGGCACATATCGTCTTATCTCCTTTTTTGTGCACGGGGCACAGGATGCTGAGGTTCTAATCATTAGTAAAGCATTCCTCTATCCAAATTGTACTAATCAGTTGGTGCATGCTCCTGATCAACGTCTGACCACCGGTCGAGTGGTGATCCATCAGCACCGACTAATTGCTATACTGACCTCATCTTGGCTAGGTGATATACAATTGATACCGTCATCTCTAATTGGTTCTGGGTTATCTTGTTCTCCATTACTATTTTGTTCCGGAAACTTTGTAAAATGCTCCATCGAGATCCTCAACACGCTGTCTGTATCTGTCACCAGGTTTCCTTCTTCATCTCTACAGGAGGATGTGCCAGCACCGAAACCTTCGGTTTCGTTTTTTACTCGTTGGTAAAATGTCCTTATTATGTTTTGTATTTGGAATGCTAATATTTTGCTCACTCGTTATATCCCGAATTCGAGTGAATACTCATTATACGGAATGTCGACTGTATGTTAATATGGTTGTCAATTTTTGTATTATGAAGTGTGAAAGTCTTAATGGTTTTATTTCCTATTTATGACTTCGATACGATTCATCGAATATTTTGATATCATAGAAATTTTTTATCCATTTTTACATGTAAGTTCTTTTGTTACCATTATCGTTATAAAAACATTTTGCAAAAATCCAAAACACACACAGATTAAAATCTCACTACTAAACGAAAAAATGTTCAAATTATTTGTGAAGAAAAACAAACAAAAAAAAATTAATAACGGAATCTTTGTACTCAAAAATATAGTTAACGTAACACTCAAAGTATTGGAAATGTATTGAGAATATGAAGGAAAAATAAAAATTAAATTAATATGGAAACAAAATATATGAAATGTAGAATATGAATCAGAAATCTATTAGTAATGTGTTGTTCTTTATAAACGAAAAAATGCTATTTGTAGGTGCATACCCAAAAAATAATATAAAATATGAAACTGTTTTTTTTTTTATAGTGTTGTAAACCAGTAAAGCATTTAAAAGCAATTGATACAAATTTTTTTGTAAAACACAAATATAATATTAAGGAATTCCATTTTGAATAAATAAAATAAATTATACACAAAAATAAAACAATACATACATTATTATTATTTTTTTTTTTTTTGGAACTCAATCTTAAGAAATACGATGATACTACCATTCATACAACACAGAAGGACCATGTTATTGAAGAGTCATATATATCAATATATATTTTCGCAAATCATATGTCCATTATAATTTTTCAAAATTTTATTTTGTTAAATATTTTGTAATTTTGATTATAATTGAAAATTCTATTTTGACGAGTTAGTTGTCTAATTTGAAATTCTATTCGGCGAGTTAGGTATTTGTGAGAAGAAATTTGCAAAATTATTATATGGCGTTAGCAACACCTCGAAGTATACCCCGGAGATAAGTATATTTCTCAAAATAATAAAATTCTTTGTCGATTTTTCCCATATCTGTATGTTTGTTGAAATAACGGCAGAGCTCGAAATAATAGGTTGGGTAAAAATCCATTATTTTTATATGAACTATAGGACTTTATTTAAAATGCTTCCGAATGTCCGATTTGGGACATGCTATGATTTGTTGCCATTTTAAAGGTAACTTCAAAATGCCTCTCTCATAGAAGTCCTGCTCTCTATTTACAAAAAAAACTCTAGTAGTCGATTTTCACAATCCTCCCTAGATATCAATTTTTTATCTTTATAGAAATTTTGCAAGAAAAAGATGATAATCGCTTAGTGCCATGTCCGGACTGCATGTCGGATTGCATTAAAACTTCCCAAATAAACT